AGATATAGATTCATTATTAAATATATACAGAAGATAAAGAGTCATTCCACATTATTACAAATAACTTCATTTCTGGACACTTATGGTTTGATTTCTTTGTATGTATGGATCACTTGGGTTGTTACCAACATCTGATGAAAATTTCATGTCATTAGCACCTCTAGTAATATATTTACTGAGAAAAATGGTGACGTGTTCAATACTTATTTTACCCGCAGTATGATGTGCTTCTGTTTTTTTAATGCAGGAGATTCTACTCATATTTATGTAATTAAGTGTTTTAATGATTTGGCCGATTAATCGATTAATCAAAAAAATAATCGACAGATTAATCCATCATTAAAATAATCGTTAGATGCAGCCCTACTAAGGTCATTTTCAAAATGTTTGTGCAATTTTGTAAATGTGGAGGCAGCTGTCACATGGGTTACTGTATATGGGCAACAAATAATGTGCACGGCCTGCAGTACAGTTTTCTTACAAAAGTTGGCCGTTATTTTCGAAAGTTAGTCATGTGTCACACTGCTTTCAATCCAATTTCATTGAGACTGCAACTTGTTTTCATGCAACTTTGAGTTGCCAACTAGTCTCTAACCTGCGAGATGTTAGCTTAAGTGTCCTTGTAGTTTGTCTGTAATGTGGGAGTTCTCGCCACCTAGTGGTGCAGCGTAGGTATTTCAGCACATTTATCAATATACTATGATTTATACTACGAGAATCCTCAGATTAGTGTCGACAGACCCTGTGTTTTATCTGTTTAATATTTTCCATCTGTTCCTGTGCCCCATCCTCACCACCAGAGCTTACGTGTCGCTCTTCATGCGTCACCTCTGTGAGCCGGTCGCCGACGGGGCGGAGACGTTCGCTGACGGCGTCCCGAGGGAGGGCTTGTGTCGCCAGCTGGTCCTCACACGGATTGGCGTCATGTCGCTTGTCAAGAAGAAGGTCAGAACGAAGCAGGTTTTTTTTTTTTTTTTTACATATGAGAAAGTCATGACTGGAGAGCACAAGAAGATAAACCAGGGCTATTGAACTAAACTGCTCCGGGGGCCACAGTTACTGCAGATCAACAGCACAGGGGCTGAACATCCAGCAATTAAAGTCACAAATAAACAAAGTATTACAAAGATCTATTACCTTTAAAATGATTTATTTTGCTGTATTTAATCAAGAATAAAACTTCTTGTAATTTTAACTGTCTTTAGTGTGCATAGAAATGGTTTTTACCAGCTTCTAGACAAGATTCTGACGTTTCTGTAGATACCAAACATGTCTAAGTTTAACTAAAAGAACTTATTAAAGTAAAAAACCGGGGGTTTGAGCTTAAAGATGAATGAAACGCGGGCCGAATTTTGGCCACTCACAGGCCGGATGTGGCCTGCGGTCTGCCAGTTGAATAGCCCTGAGATAAACCCTTCGGCTGATTATTATACAAATAAAACATAACAGGAGATAAATAGGTGTGTGGAATTTTCCTTTTGAGTATGTTAGAATCTCGTAGAGATACAAAACTTAAAACCACAATAACAACAGATTATGTTTTCTAAAGTAATAAAAAGTTCCTGAAGTGCCTGAAACACCTCATATTTGTATATTGTCCAGGCTTTCCTAGCCTTTTTTTTTTTTGCAAAATATTTTTATTATCGTTTTTATATAGAACATATCAAATCAAATTCCGTCCCAACCCTTAACATCACAAAATCGGCACTTCTTAAAACGATTACACACAACAACAGGRGAAATAAATACACAATATAATAATCTACATCTATCCACATGTGTAAAAAAAGGGAGAAAAATGGTTACATAAACTGCTAAGCAGTGGCATGTCAGTCATTTACAATCTGTCGCAGAAGAAATTTTAGCACAGGGTCCCATATCTTCTCAAACACATCGACTCTGTTGTCATTGTAGTATCTCAGTCCTTCTCAGTGCAGTGTAGTTGTATTTGTATTTGTATTTGCTAGTGTTTCCTCGCCTTTTTAAACTTACATTATTATATATAACAGCTGTATGATCAAACATCTCACCTCAAACCTGGAAATAAAGCCAGGGTTGTTTCAGGACGGGCATTTATTCACAGCTGTGATGGACTGATGAGGTCACAGGTGAAACTGAGATCTTCTGGAAACTGATGGAGCAGATGGAAGAGAGCCTGGAGAGAACGGGAATGATTAAGAAATAATAGTCAATTTTGGTAACAAATAATAGGGATTTTTCGTCTTTTTGCAGAGTCATCATGTTTTACAACACAGTACCTACTTCAGTTTGTCAGTTTATTGTGTTCAGTCCACACGTCTTCCTCCCCCTCAGTTCTCAGTCYGACCTGTTTAAACCTGCAGGCACCCAGATCTGTTTTGCCACAGAGAATGTTTGATATTCTGCCAGTCCAAGCTGGCATGTGGGTGGTGTATTTAAAAGAGGCACGTTAGATAAACTCAGCATCTGCCAAAACCTCTATTTAGTTTTTTTTTTGTTTGTTTTTTTGTTTTGATTTTGTGCTCAGATCCAGGAGTTTGAGCACATCAATGGGCGCTGGAGCATTCCGGAGCTCAAACCCGAGGTCAGCGTCGACAAATCCTCCTCCCTGGCCTCCTCCCCCGCTGCGAAGACCGCCACCCCCACCCCGGACGCCAGCTTCAACAACACGCCGTGCACCTCCAAGCCAGGTAACCCAACAATAAGGCTGCTGCAGGTTCCAGCAGGGGGCGCCACACATCTGCAAAAGCCGTATTTCCCCTCACTGTAACGGGTTTTTGGTGAACACACACAGCGACTCCTGCTCCATCGGAGAAACCGGAACGGAACGGGAAGGAGGAGGAGAAGGAGGAAGCCTCCCTGGACAAGGAGAGACTGAAGGAGAAGGATGCAGGGAAGGAGGTGGAGGGCGACAAGATGGGAGACGCAGACGAGGTGAGACGAGGTCAACGGAGCAGAACCTACCCCACAAATACAACAAATGAAGTTTGATGAAAATGCTTTGAAGGTCAATGGTGGTTTTCATGCATCACTGCAGAAAAAAACCTTATTTCACAAGTTATTTCTTTCTGTCATTCGCTTCTGACCATATTATTCTTTTACAAGTTTTCATTATAATATACTATCTTGTCACAGAAGATAAAAAGGTGAAGAAATGTTAATTGGAAGTACTAATGTGGACCAGAATTCTAACATCAACCCTGCAATGATCTAAGCTAAGAATAACGCCGATGTTTTCATGTATAAACTGGAGAAGTGGAAAGTGAACTGAGATCAAAAGAAACGTTACAGCACCTGTGTTCGTCACTCCCTGACAGCTAATGCACAGGAAAATAGACAGAATGTTGTGTGATTTTTTTAAAAGTTTCTACAGTGTTTTATTTTTGAGGTAAGACGACTTCAAACCTGACAAATAAAGTTCTGGACTACGTCTATTTGTAGCTTTCCTCCTCAACAAAAGACGCATCGCAGAAGCCATCTCCTGGCCAAAAACCTGATGGCAAAGAAGAGGGCGACCTGAAAGAGGACGAGAGAAAAGGAACGACAGACGACGCTTCAGCTGCAACGACGGAAGAAAACAAAGTGGCCGAGGAGAAGAAGGAGGAGACGAAACAGGCGCTAAAACAAGACGCAGACGTCAAAGATGAAAAGTCAGGTAAAAACAAACAAAAAAAAATACATTTCAGTAAATAATCAAAACAAAAAGCTTTGTGTGACTCAGGTTTGTTTATGTTGGCAGATAGGGAAAAGGCCGGGCAGGAGAATGAGAAGGAAAAACAGGAGGAGGCGCGACCGATGACAGAAGCAGCAGAAACAAAGGAGAAAAGCGAGTCGTCTGATGTGAAGAAAGGTGTCGTTTATCGCTGGTCATTTGTAGCAACTTTAAAAAGAACAAACTTGTTTGTTATTAAATGAAATATTACGTCTCTCTGGACAACAGATGATGTCAAAGGTGAAAAGGATGCTGGGAAAGATGTCAAAGCAACCAAGGAGGAGGCGCCGAGGGGCAACGGGAGGCCTCCGACCGAGAGGCTGCGCTTCATGTTCAACATTGCAGACGGAGGATTCACAGGTTGGCTCCGGTTCCTCCCAGATAATCACTAAATTATAGGAAACATTCAGGCTGTTTTGGTTTTATTTTACTGACTCTTTAGTTTAACGCATTTAAATGATCTAAGTTCAATGGACTGAAAATAAAAAGCAATGACGATACCTCAAAAATGCTCAATAGTTCGTTGAAGTGTGGTTCTGTGGAAAGGTTGCAATCAATAAACATCCTACATGTTGCAGATGGTTCTTTGAGCAACAGCTGCCTTCTCAAATCAACTCTAATCCCTAAAATTTCAGAGTTCAACACTAATTTATGAAACTTTACATCATCAGGTTCCAGTGGTGAGCAGCACTAATCTAAATATTAATTGCACTAACCCTAAAGMACTAACTCAACTATTTAGGCCCCCTAATTCTGAAGCACTAACACATTGGAAAATTTAGCAAAAGTTAACTCTAAAGCACTAATATAACCAGTTGACACATGGAACAGTCTTCAGAGTCAACACAAGACAATATTTACTGTGTGCAGAATGTTGTCCTTGGCAGGCCAAATAGGAGTCACCTGCAGTCCACATTTGGCCCGCGGGCCTTGAGTTTGACATGTGACCTTGTAGATGATACGCATATGAACAAAATATGTGACAGCTTTCACCCTCAACTGTGAACAATAATTAGTAATTAGTAACATAGACCTTGGTTAGTGATTCTGAATTTAGCCCATAATTTAGCAAGTGCTAATCCACTAACATATTTAAAAAATGGCAAAAGCCCTAAAGCACTAATCAGGAAATTAGTTCCCCTATTAGTGCTTTAGTGCTTTAGGGGAACTGTGCCCACCACTGTCAGGTTCATTTTATGCAGCYATTCTAGCAGAAATTAACAACCCCAAGTCTGAAAAAGTTAATTTTTTTGTAAAGAAAAATTTAAATTATTATTAAATTAAATTAAAAGAAACAAAAAAAACAACAATGCAATAATAGACCATATTTTAGTTACGCGTACTAGCGTAGCCCAACTCTTCCAGGCCACAGGTCAAATAATAAAAAGGTTAAGGTTGGTATGAAAACGCAGTTGAAATTGTGCAAATTCAAGCTCAAAAAGCAGATTTATAGCTTAGATATTCATGAAAAATCTCATCTATGATCCTAAAGGAAAATTAATACAAATCCGTTCAGAGCAAATACATCGGGACTGTATAACTGTAAAATTTCTATGGTAGCCACCTCAGTGTTTATCCCAGACCACTAAATTATATTTTAAAGGGAAAAAAACAAAGTCATTGTGAATGTTAAGGCATCAGTGCCTACCACTAATATAACCTGTTATCAGCACTCAGTTTAAAAGTCTGCCTCTCTGATGGTATGGGGTGCATTAATGGTTATGGCATAGGCGGTTAAAAGAAAAAGAGGTGCCTCACTATTCCAATTTTTTAGATGCGTTACAGCCATAAAGTTCAAAATGACATTATTTTTTATTTACAACATTGGATATGTTCATCATATTGGTTTTTTTTGTGCTCATCAGTCTGGTCAGAATTAAACCCCGTCTTCAAACTTGTTCAAACAGCTTTCTACAACAGGTAAGATATTAATTGTTCATAAACTTTTCCTCACACCTCACCGCAAAACTATCTGAACCGTCCCTGTAGGGCTCAGGACTGAACGCCACTCGCCGACAGATTTCATTTTTCCAGGCAGTTGTCTGTTTGTGACGCGTGACTCAAGCGATTTTTTTTTACACAACATTCGATCAAAACCGAGAAGCAAGAATGTAGCAACCTTGTGTGTGAGGAGGTAGTTGGTGTTTGGTGAGCTGAAATATTTCATAGGAAATACCACAATGCAGTCTCATGCTTCCAGCTATAAATATATTAAGGAACTTTGCGGTTGGAAACAAATGTGAAAGCTCGAATATCTTCTTCAACCGAAAAGGTCACAGACATCTGAGGAAAAAAAAGAAAAAATCCATTCCTATAAACGTTTAATTGCAAATCTAAACGTACCTTTATTTTTGGTGTAAAAATAAATGACTGAAAATAAATAAACCACTTTTCCAAACAAAACAAAACATGACAGATTCAGCCGTGAGTCACATTTATCCTCAGCTTGATCCCAAACCCAGAAAAGCCGTGGGTGTCCTGCGGTAAACACCTGCAGCCAGGTTTTAGCAAGCCAAGCACTTTTAGCTTGGCTACCTTTCAGTTTATATTTTATTTTTTTTACCTCCAACCCACAGAGCTGCACACGCTTTGGCAGAACGAGGAGCGGGCTGCCATCTCCTCGGGGAAGATGAACGAGATCTGGCACCGCCGGCACGACTTCTGGCTGCTGGCGGGAATCGTGGTGTATCCTTCACAGCGGTTGCCCGGGCGTTGAACCCCCCGATGTGTTTATTTTTCTATCTGAGGGGCAGAAGAAGCCTCGGTGTAATAAGTCAACAAGCCGGCCTTCGTAAATACCAAGCTGTGTCTGCTGGAAGTGGATGTAGTGAGAGCTGTTCAGTTCATGTTCTCTTTTGTTGTGCTCATTTGCACTATTAGACAAGGCAAGTTTATATAACACATTTAAATAAAGAAAGTGCTTTACATGATGAAGACGTAAAAAATAAATACATTACATTGACATCATAGAGGATTTTAAATAAACCAGTCAAAAGCAACTCTAAACAAATTTAGAGTTTCTGCATTCTTACAGTTTTCTGGGAGTTTGTTCCAGATTAGTTGAGCATAAAAACTGAAGGCTGCCTCTCCATGTTTGGTTCTGATTCTGGGAATGTAGAGTAGACTTGAACCAGAGGACATGAGTGGTCTGGAAGGTTGGTAGAACAACAACAAATGTTGGTGTGTGTTTGTTCTAAGACGTACGGTGATTTATAAACTAACAAAAATTAAGGAAATTTGTGTTTGTTCGATTTATTTCTTTGTTCTAACAGTGCTTCTTGGCAATAAATCTTACACCTTTGGAAAGTCTGGTAATTTCACTTTTAAACGATRCCACGTTTGTAAGGAACATGCATTTGTGGGATAAGATCTAAGTATGTGGGTTGCGCATAAGAAAAAAGTTGCCAAATTGTCTCTGCCAAACAGCTTATTCTGTCATTAACTTTTTGGTGGACGAGATAAAGTTYGACAAGCAGGAGCATCAGTAAAGCATGGAGGAACCATACACAGCCACAACAGCCTGGCACCTACTGAACTACAAAGCTGTAGAAGACAGCCTACGGTACCTAAGTGCTGACAGGGTGAGGAAATGAWCTTGAGGTTTGGGAAACCTGTCTCACACATCCCTCGTTATATGTAATTTAGCCTTCAATAGCAGGGCCCATGCTCACAGGTACCCTCAGGTACCAGAARCTCGCAACAACAATCAGTAGCAACAACATAAAAAGCAGTTTGGCAAAGATTTGGCAAATTTTTCATGTGTGCAACCCACATACTCAGCTCTACTGCTCATACCACAAATGCATGTTCCTTACAAATGTGGTACCATTTAAAAGGGAATTTAAGAGGCTTTCCAACGGTATAAGATTTATTGCCAAGAAGCATTGTTACAATAAAGAAACAACCTGCCAAACACAAATGTCAATGCTTTTTGTGTTAAGTTTATTTTAGAGTATATTTTCTGCGTTACAGGGAGGCAGTGTAAGGTCTTTTGAACTGAGGCGACGTGTTCTACTTTTAGTTTTAGTGAGGACACAGGCAGCAGCGTTCTGGATCAGCTGCAGCTGTCTGATGGATCCTTTAGACAGACCTGTGAAGACACTGTTACAGTAATCAATCTGGTCATAATTGCATGGATGAGTTGTTCAAGAACTCGCTGGTACATTAGTCCTTTAATCCTGGAAATGTTCTTCAGTTGACAGAAGGCTGCCTTTGTAATTCTTCAGTTGACAGAAGGCTGCCTTTGTAATTGTCTTTATGTGTTTTTAAAGTTCAGGCCTGAGTCCAGTACTACACCCAGATTTAGGGCCTGATCATTAGTCTCTAGCTGTAATAACTGAAGCTGTGTGCTGACTCTTCAAATTCAGTTCAAATTCAAAAATACTTTATTGATCCCAGAGGGAAATTAGGTAGGCAATTAGGTAATTAGGCTTGACTGCTCCTTTGGTTGAAAAATAACTATTTCGCTTTTATTTTTATTCAACTGAAGAAAATTTTGGCCAAATCCAGGCATTGATTTGCTCTGTGTACCTGCTCAATGTTTGAATGGGTTCACTGACAGTGTWATATAGAGCTGTGTGTCATCTGCATAGAGTTAAGCTAGTTTACCATTTAAAAACAAGCTTGTTTTCTTCGAATCACAAGATGATTATCATGTAAAAATGAAAGTTTCACCCAGTTTCATCAACATCGGGWTGTTCTTGTTTGTAAACAGAAGTGCCCATCTTTGCTGGCAGGCAAAAAATAAAATTACTTCATTAATGAAAGCTCGAGAAAAGAATTGCCTCATTATCAGCTGATTTAGATTTATTAGATTATGCTARAAAGTTTAGCTCTGACATGCTTCCCAAACTGTACAGGCTGAGAAGTAGATAGCATCTGGGTGGATCTGATTGTATCTTCAGCTTTGTTCACAGCATTCACAACAATTTATAATTCAAATATTTGGTCTAAAAGTTTTGTGGGCATGTAAATATAAAGAAATTAGGCCAACTTGTGGACAAAGTGTTTTTTGTAACTCGTGTTCAGAGAAAATATCTGGGTGACCTGTGATTTATCAAACTTAATGAGTTTAGTCACATTTTATGAGGCAGTTCGGTGAAATAAATTTTGAATATCTGGACAAACTTGTAAGATTTGAAATAATAAAAATTCTGCAGTTCTGTTATCCAGCCCAGCACCACATAAASCAAATCACAACCGGGCCGATCGTGGCATGCCATCTTAAAAACAATGYCATCGTTGCCAGATCTGGCCCACACCTGTCTTTTATGTGGGATATCTCCTAATCTGATTCATAAAAGTAACAATATACTCATAATTTCTTAGATAAATGTATTTTTTTTTGTTATTTATACCAGTATTTTTGTCTCCATCACCATTATGCTGTATTTCAGACATCAGGCAGCAGTGATGGCCCACACATAGCCGCTTGACTACTTTATTCTGACCCATAATGTCATACGACCCTTGACCCCCTCCCTGCCCCAGACACGGCTACGCTCGTTGGCAGGACATCCAGAACGATCTGCAGTTCGCCATCGTCAACGAGCCGTTCAAGTCTCAAGCCAACAAGGGCAACTTCCTGGAGATGAAGAATAAATTTCTGGCTCGGCGCTTTAAGGTACGACTTTGTCCCGCTTCTTCTGTTTTCAGTGCCCAAATGCAGTTCTTTTGAATTTTTATTTTATTTTATTTACGTTGTTGAAAGAAGCTTGTGTGTGCGTGTGTTGGTTCCTCGGACATGCTAGGTTCTGATGCTAAAAATAAGGCTTCAAATCTTAGGGTTCAGCATCACCTGACTCGTCCAGCGGTTGATGACAGATGCCCCTAGACCCACATATTGTCTGGGCGGTATCGCTGACCACTGCACTTCTGGAAGAACTCTCATCCTGTTTTCGAGCAGCTCACATGTTTCCGATCCTTCCCTCAACATCCTCATTTACTGCGTCTCCTCACTCTTGTCATTTCTCGCCCATTAGTATTTCATGTGGCACATCTGACAACAACAGCACCCATGGTGGTAAAAAGCAAAGAAGGCTTCTCGCAAATTTCTGTCTTGGGTGTGCTTAGTTGTAAATGATTGTGCAACGCGACTCCCTCTTTTTGCAACTGTTTTATCATAAATAGGTCCTTATTTTTCCTGGACAGACAGCTGAATAACAGTAATTATGTGAGTTTCTCATAAAATGTGTGTAGTGCAGTTGTTATGCAAACACTGATTCCTGAAAAACGGCTTTTGCCACAGTTGTTTGTTTGTTTAGATCACCAAGATTTTCTTATGCAATCCTTGACTTCAGCTGTTTGCTGAGCAGACAAGGAGTTTAACTTCAAATTAATCACTCGCTGCTTGTGTTTGAGCCTGAGTTTTAAACTAAAATGATTTTAGGGCTGCAACTAACGAATATTTTAATAATCGATTAATCTGTCGATTATTTTTTCGATTAATCTATTAATCGGCCAAATCATTAAAACACTTAA